CCAAAGCGCTTCACAATCATGAGGGGGGGTCTCTCTACACCTCCACCAGTGTGCAGCATCCACTTGGATGATGCGACGGCTGCCACAGGACAACGGCGCCAGTGCGCTCACCACACACCAGCTATTGGTGGAGTGGAGAGACAGTGATAGAGCCAATTCGCTGGAAGGGGATGATTGGGAGGCCATGATCGTAAGGGCCGATAGAGGGACTTTGGCCAGGACACCGGGGTTACACCCCTGCTCTTTCACGAGAAGTGCCATGGGATTTTTAATGACCACAGAGAGTCAGGACCTCGGTTTAACGTCTCATCCGAAAGACGGCATCCACTGACAGTGTAGTGTCCCCTTCACTTTTACTAGGGCATTAGGACTCACACAGACCACAGGTTGAGCGCCCCCTGCTGGTCTCACTAACACCACTTCTAACAGCAACCTAGTGTTTCCAAGTGGTCTCCCATCCAGGTACTGACCAGGCTCAGCCCTGCTTAGCTTCAGTGAGTAACCGGTCTTGGGCTGCAGGGTGACATGGCTGTGGCTTTTAAATATGAGGGTTGAGTACATGACAGCATTATCACCGTGGGCGCACTATGTGGTAGAAAGAGATCAAATACGCGCTGAAATACACAAATAAAGCTCTTCATTCTCCTCCAGATAATCGTTCTCCACTGTTCACTAATTAGAGTTGCTCAAACACAGTATAAATACATTCTCCGGCTGGCAACCCCTCATTACTAAACTATGATTAAGAGACACAACTGTGCTGGTTGCCCACAGATGTTAAAGAAATAGAGCGCCCACGGTGATAATGCTGTGATGTACTCACCCCTCATATTTAAAAGCAGTGGGTTTAATTGTGTCCTTTCACTATATTTGTTTTTAAAAACAGCTTGCATGCTGTAACAATGAAATTAAATGGCACTCAGCACTTAGGTTCACTTGTATTTCCTTACACGCTTGACTGGATTTTTAAATATATAATAAATATATAATATAGTATAATATAATAATTATATAATAATAATTTTGTAGTTGAAGTAAATATTAGTAAATTTGTGTATATTATTGCAGTGATATCTGGTTGCCTTGCATGTGGCAGCAAAACATGGCTCAGGTGAAAAAAATTCATGACAAAAAATGTATTTCATTTGTGCATTAGTTATATATTTACAAGTTTTAGTTACATTTAATATAGTTTTAGTATTACAACGATGGGCTGGGGCGAAGCAGTGGCGCAGTAGGTAGTGCTGTCGCCTCACAGCAAGAAGGTCGCTGGTTCGATCCTCGGCTCAGATGGCGTTTCTGTGAGGAGTTTGCATGTTCTCCCTGCGTTCGCGTGGGTTTCCTCCGGGTGTTCCGGTTTCCCCCACAGTCCAAAGACATGTGGTACAGGTGAATTGGGTGAAGTTCACATGAAGTAACATGAAGTTTGCATGTTCTCCCTGTGTTAGAGTGGGTTTCTAAATTGTAGGCTAAATTGTCTGTATAGTGTATGTGTGTGAACGAGTGTGAATGGATGTTTGCCAGTGATGGGTTGCAGCTGGAAGGGCATCCGCTGCGTAAAACCTAAGCTGAATAAGTTGGCGGTTCATACCGCTGTGCTGATCTCAGGTTAATAAAGGGACTAAGCTGAAAAGTAAATGAATGAATGAATTACAAATACATTTTTTACACAAACTTAATATTTTAGTCAGTTTAATTTATGAAAGTTGAGATTAAGTTAATGTGATTCAACTAAAAAAATTTTGAGCATCAATATTTTTTGCAGTGTATTATTATTAATATTGTGATTTAGAATACTCTTCGCTTAAAAGAACACTACACGTAAAATTAGCTTCTGTTTTTTAAGTCACCATAGAGTTAAATAGTTGAATTTGACCATTTTTTAAAAATATACAACAAATGAATTTAGTTTAGCTTAGCTTAGCATAATTAATTGAATCGGATTAGACCATTAGCATATCACTTCAACTACCCACATTCACTTCTTGCAGACTTCCTAGTTTCTCTACAGTAGTAAATATATGATTATAAGCTATAAATTATTTAAATAAGGTGTTTCATCTTGGATTATTTCCAGCTGTAGCCTTTTTTTTAACACAGATCTATCAATTACCTGTGGTGTTATTTCAATGACAAATGTCGTAAGCGCAGTATTAGATGTCAAGATGGCATTTATATAATAGCCTACAAGCATGCAAATCTCTGCTTGCTCGCTGATTTCCTCTGAACATGCACAAAACTTCTTGCACGCCCCTCAAATATAAGCGGCTCAAGCACAGATCTTCTTGTGCGCTCTCAAATAAACGCTGCTGAAGTGCGATTTAGTGCGTTTACGTAACTAGTATGTCTCGAGAATTTATTAGATATAATGTAATTTACTGTGAAAAATTACAGTGACGTTATGAAAATCTGGAAAAAAATTTTACAGTGCAGATGCGGATGAAGCATCAAGCGTGAGTGATTTACATGTTAAGTCAATGCAAAGATTTGGCTTTAGTATTGATTAATCTAATGTACATGCACAGATATGATTTTGTAGAGCAGGGGTGTCAAACTCAATTACTGGAGGGCCGAAGCCCTGCAGAGTTTAGTTCCAACCCTCCAACACACTGACCTGTAGGTTTCAAACAAGCCTGAAGGACTCAATTAGTTTGATCAGGTGTGTTTAATTAGGGTTGGAACTAAACTGTGCAGAGCTGCGGCCCTTTTGGAACTGAGTTTGACACCTGTGCTGTAGAGCTTCTTATTAAAAACATGAATTTAAAAGAGAGATGTGTGAGGGGTGTACTTATATATGCTGAGCACTGTATATAAATTTAGCAGTCCCATGAAGAAACACAAGTGTTCCCCCTGAATGAAAACAGAAACATAAAACCAGATTTCCTGTTTTCATATTACTATCAAGTTTGGGCCGTACAGATGTGCTGGTCATTGAGTGAAATCAGTGTGAGGAATGCAGAGTCGTGTACTCGGCTTCTGGAAATGAATGAGACACATCCCTTCAGTGTCCATTAACCCGTGCATATTCCACCGTTCCCAGCGGACTCCATTCTCACTCATTCTGAATGCTGGCAGTCGATGTGGAAGCCGCTCTGCCTCGACGCCCAGCGCCGTTTCCTGCCATTGTTCACTTCACTGAGGTTACGTGGTCTATAATAACAAAAGAGAAAGAGCCTTCCCACGATTCCTGACGAAAAAAAAATCCTTTTGCAAGAGGACATGTGCTTTCTGTGTGTACAAACATAATGGATGACTGCGAGCGGATCAACGTGTGGCAGCGTGTGAACTTTGTTTAGGTGGATTGTAATGTCATTTTTAATTAAAGGAAAGATTTCTGGTTTCTCAAAGTAACTCAAAAAAGAAGGGTTGAAAATACATCAGGTAAAATGTTGGAAAAAACACCTGATCTGCTGTTTTTTTTTTTTTTTTTGGAATGTTCTGCTACTAAAAATAAAATAAAATGCTAAAAAGTGATCTCATTCTGGGAGAAATATCTGTGTAATGACTAAAATAGAGTGAGATATTCAATCTCACAATTATTTATCACAATTATCTAAATGTACAGTTGAAACCAGAAGTTTACATACACTGTATAAAAAGGCACATTAACCATTTAAAAAAGTCAGATGTTAATGTAACTAAACGTTTTCTCTTTTGGGTAAGTTAGGATTATCACATTAGTTTCTGTTATACTTAATAGCAGAATATTGAGAGAGAGAGATTTTTTGAGAAATTGTTATAACTTTTCTTGACAGCCAAGTTTACATACAATAAGATTATTATACCTCTGAAAAAGCTCAGATGATGGTGTCAAGGTTTTGGAAGTTTCTGATTGGCTAATTGACAACATTTGAGTTAATTGGAGGCACAACTGTCGAATAGTATTTAAAGAAAACCTCAAACACACTGCTTCCCTGTGTGACAACATGGGAAAATCAACAAGCCAGAATCAACAACAAAGCCAGATTACAGTTTGCACTGGGAAGAAGAATAATTTTTGGAGACATGTCCTGTGGTCTGCTGAGATTGAACTGTTTGGCCATAATGACCAGTGTTACATTTGTAGGACAAAGGGGAAAGCTTACAAGCCTAGGAACGCCATCCCAACTGTGAAGTATGGGGGCGGCAGCATCATGTTGTGGGGCTGTTTTGCTGCAGGAGGGACTGGTCCACTTCACAGCATAGATGGCATCATGAAGAAAGAACATTATGTAGAAATACTGAAGCAACATCTCAAGACATCAGCCAGGAAATTAAAACTTGGCCACAAATGGGTCTTCCAAACAGACCATGACCCTAAGCATACTGCCAAATTAGTTAAAATGTGCTTTAAGGACAACAGAGTGAATGTGTTGGAGTGGCCATCACAAAGCCCTGATCTCAATCCTATAGAACATTTGTGGGCAGAGTTGAAAAAGCTTGTGCGAGCAATCTGACTCAGTTACACCAATTCTGTCAGGAGGAATTGACCAAAATTCCTTCAAACTATTGTGAGAAGCTTGTGGAAGGATACCCAAAACATTTTACCAAAGTTATACAGTTTAAAAGCAAAGCTAAAAATACCAAGAAAATGTGTGTAAACTTTTGACTGGAAATTAATAAAAAATTCTCAAAAAAAAATCTCATTATTCTGGCAATTAGCAAAGTGAATAATTTAGGTAATCCTAAAGGATCTAAAATAGTAAATTCATAAATCAGAAATAGTATGATTTACCATCAGACATTTTTTTAATGGTTATGTTCCTTTTTTTAGAGTGTGTGTAAACTTGTGGTTTCAACTGTAAGTTTAAAATCTTACACTATAAACAAATAAATGAAGAACATGGATGAACATGACAGAAAGAAAAGCACTGGGTAATAACTACACTGTGAACAACGTCCTGTAGCCTGTTAGCCAGTAAATTACTGTAAATCAGTTACAGAAACATTGTGATTATGAATTGCAATTATTTATATTGGACAAGTATTCAAAAAAGATTTGTTTGTTTGTTAATTTGTAGATTGGAATCAGAAATCTGTCATTTGGAGAATGAAGAATTACAGATCTCAGCTAAAGAGCAGGTTCTCCGAGAGCGACTGCGGGAAACAGAGAGATCCATTGAAGATCTGCAGAAGGTAAAAGATACTCAATGCAGACAAACCAAAAGAATCCTTAAAACATCCTTGGACACTTTAGGCACTATTTAAATGTATCATTGCATTTTAGAAATAGAAACAAACTAAGGGGAATATGTTTAGCAGTTTTTTACGTTGATTAGTGAAGCTGAGGGTTATGAATTGTGCATTAAAATACTCTCTTTAATAGTTTATACAATAATAATAAAAACTAACATAATATTAACCAAAAACTAGATAGAAATTACAAGACAAAAACTTATTACTAAAATTACTAACAATAAATTCATTCAAATGAAAGCAGAAAATATAAACACTGTTTTTGAACTACTAAAATTATGACCAAAATGGATCAGAAAAGTGAAAATTGGGACTTATTTGTTCAATATTTCAATATTTTATTATTACGTGTGCAGAGTTACTGAAGTTTGTCCTGCGCGCTTGCGGTTTTTTTTTTTTTTAGTTACTTATTTGGTTTGGTGCGTTAATCTGATCGTTACTATTATTCAAAAGAAGGTATTGATTCGCACTCAATTGCTTCATACTGTTTTTATTCTTACTTTTTCTTACATGTTACGGGTGATAACAGACAAACAGACGTTTCGGCACAAAGCCTTCCTCAGTGTGTGACACATTCTCCAACTCCACCCTTTTATTCCATAGTCAATCACAATGTGCAATTAGTTAAACCGTCACTCTCATTTCATTATCAATTAATCACACAATAACTTATAATCTTCACAGCAATGACAATAAACATTCTTCCCATTTCCGACCTCACTCCACAGAGATAAAGTGCATCAACCACCATCACTAATCAGGTGTACATCAATACAAAAAATTCTAACAGTTGACATTAAAAGTTTTATACATTTAACAATTACTCAAAGATTAAAAATAACAAGTCTTACCTTCATCTCTACTCTTACAACCAATTATACAGGAGACATTTACCTGCATATTAAAAAACGATTTGCAAGACATACGAAAAAACTTGCATTCAAAAACCATTACTACATAGGAAAACATCATATCAATTATCATTATATTTTTTAACAATTTACACTACAATATATCATGATCAATTACTCGAAAAATACCTTTTCCTTCCAAAACATAATCTCGCAAGAAAACAGCACATCAAACATCAAGTTTCGGACCTCTCCTTTTCGTTACAATATCATGGTCAATTACTTGTAACATGTAACCCGTAACATGTAAGAAAAAGTAAGAATAAAAACCTTCTTTTGAATAATATTTTATTATTAGAAATTTTTTGCAGACATTCACTTAAAAATAATTGAAGTTTATTTATAAACTAATTTCGGGAGGATCACATGCTTATGATTGACACGGCTGGCCCCGGGTCAAGCTAATGTAAGATCCACCAATCAGACGATTCCTAACTTAGTATAAATAACCAAAGCATCTCACCTTAGCCATCTTTGTTTTGAAGAATCCCCCCTTCCACCCCCTCTCCTCCATTTTTCCTCTATAGGGCAGCATGGTGGCCCAGTGGCTAGCACTGTTGCCTCACAGCAAGATTGCCTTCGGTTTGAGTTTCTACCCAGGCATGTGGCATTTCTGTGCAGAGTTCATGTTCTCCCCGTGCTCACGTAGGTTTTCCCCGGGTCCTCCGGTTTCCTCCCACAGTCCACAACATGAGATATGAGTAAATTGACAAAACCAAATCAGCACCATAGTCAACTCCACCAGCAGCTCACCCTTATAGCAATGCCTGTTTCATACATCAGGGCTTCTCGAGATCTACCTGAGGTCAAACTCCCCTCTCGCCCTGCAAATGGGAGGGAGCCCCGGGCTTGAGGATCTTACGAGCTCAGGGCTCTCTCCCTGGACAGCATGCCAAACTAGCTTTATTACCAATCATTAGCTAAATGTGAACTCTTGCATCTTTTTTAAACAGAAACATAACATACAATTAAAAAAGAAAAAAACTACGAACAAAAGTCATAAAAATAATAATGAAACAATTTTTTTTTTAAATAAACACCCAACTTCCTCCAACCAACCACCCACCAGTGCTAGCCAACAATAAACATAGGTACTAAAAGCATAGTAAACATATTAATCGGAAGTTTGTAAAAAGGAAATAAAAAGGGGACCAATTTTTTTCAAATAATGAAACCTTGTCTATTAGGGTATATCGGATTTTTTCCAGATGTAATGTACCCGTTAAGTCTGTCAGCCCTAATTTAAAAGTAGAACTTTTTTTTCTTCCAAAACAAAAGGATAAGTTTTTTAGCAGAGATAAACCCATATGGAACACACTGTTGTTGTATCCGTGTAAGTCTCAAAACTTCTTCAGAAACTTTAAATATAATTAATATAGGATCTGGTTCAATCAGAATGTCTAATGTAACTGAAAAAAATTGAAAGATTTTGTTCCAGAAACTGTAATTTAGGACACATAACATAAGAATGAGACAAGTTGGAATCTAAAAACTGACATTGGTCACACATTGGGGACACTTCTGGAAATATTTTATTCAATTTACACTTGGAATAATGAAGCCTATGAAGCACTTTAAACTGAATGAGACAATGTCTTGCATTAACAGTATGTTTTTTAACGTATCATAAATGTGATGTCAATATGAACTGTGTCATTTATCCATGCAATAGTAGGTGGGAATCTTTCTGAAAACCTGTTTGAAAACACTCATTATTGGTCTTCTGATTTTATGGCTGATTTATACTTCTGCATCAAGCGCACACTTATGGTCTGGCACAGCCTTCACCCAGTCGCATAGCCCCTTACCATGGCTGACGCTGACGTGCACCTCACAAAAAATGTAACTACATGTCGCAACGATGCATAGCACAAGCTCTGTGATTGGTTGGTTTGGTAGCTGTGGTGAGTGTGGGAAGTGCAGAGAACCGCGAGCCAGATGGAGCGAGTGTTTACTAGTGTCGAGTACTGTGAAGCAGCTTCAGACGGAAACTTTCAGGTTGTGTTTACCTAATGATTAAAGTTGTTGCATGTCCGCCGGTTCCAGCCTTTGAATAAGCGAGTTCGAGCTACTTGTACATTAAGGTAGCGTTCAGAAAAAAAAAAAAACTCGTGAAGAAATTTGACAAAGAGGAACATAAAAACCTAGTGCCAGTTAGTGTTTTGGAAGTGTTATTGCAGAGCAACATAAACAGCACTCAGACGGATAAATGCACGACTACGTGCAAGGCATGCGCCGTGGGTCACGGCGAAGTATAAACCAGCCTTAAGACTCTAAATAATACAGAAGTTAAGAAAAGCACCTATTAAGAAAATGTTTTAGCACAATGGCATCATCTTTTAATCATTGTTTCTTTTCTGTTTGTGTCTACAGAGTCTTCAGAATCAAGATGGAGGTATGAAAGTCATCATATTCATCAACATTACTAGACCTTTTCAGTCCTGTAGTACTAAAATAACTCAATACAACGTAGACCAGGGCTATTCAATTGGCGGCCCGCAGCCCGAACCCGACCCCAGAGGCAGTGTGTTCCAGCCCTCTAAATAGAGTGACCAAGACATCAAAAATAAATTGAGTTCATTTGAAAAACGACCGCTATAATTATGAAGTGACGTGTGTCTGTTCAATACAGCACGAGCTGCAGTTGAAGGCTGCGCAGAGCGTGAGTCACCTGACATTAAGCGAGTGAAGAGTGTAGTGAATGTTTGTAGAATAGGCCTTTTGTACAATGCACTGATATTGTAAGTAGGGATGCAATGATTAGCCGATTTCACTATTAACCGTGCTTAAATTCATTACGGTTAATTAATCGTAAAGGCTTCTCAACGCTGCGTTTCTGTTGCACGGAACAAAAACTGCTGCAACTACACAAAGGTATGCAATACGCACTCATATTGGATTAATTATAGCAGCAGACCATTCACATATTGAGTCTTTTCCGCACGCAAGTTCATTATTTTCAATGGAGACAATGACAATTTTCAATGCGCAAATTGGGAGCGGAGGGTGATGAGAGTTCTGCGTGGTGGTGAGAGTTGTGTGTGGCTTTTAGTGCTTATCATTTAAAGGCTTAACTAGGTTAATTAGGTTAACTAGGCAGGTTAGGGTAATTAAGCAAGTTATTGTATAACGATGGTTTGTTCTGTAGACAGTCAAAATAGATATATAGCTTAAAGGGGCTAATATTGTTGACCTTAAAATGCCTTTAAAAAAATGTAAAACTGCTTTTATTCTAGCCGAAATAAAACAAATTAGACTTTCTCCAGAAGAAAAAACATTATCAGATATACTGTGAAAATTTCCTTCCTCTGTTAAACATCATTTGGGAAATATTTAAAAAAAGAAAAAAAAAAGACAATTTCAAAGGGGGCTAATATTTCTGACTTCAACTTTTTGTATGAATGCAGATTATAACAACAGTTCATTTAAATTCTTAGCTAATATATAGCTTAAATTAACATTAGACAAATACTATTTTTATTGATTCAATTTTTTATTTACTTATTTATTGTTCTGTTATTTATTTTCACTGTAAAATTATCACTCATGTTTAAATCAAAAACTTTTTCATTTATTTTTAAGTCCAAGGAGGGAAATTGACTAGTTTGTTTTTTATTATTATTTTGTGCTGTATTTTGTTACCGAGCAGCAAAAAACAACACTTTAAATATAAGCAGTTTTCATATATTTGAATTTAATAAATGTATAATAATCATGCCAACCGTAAACCCGTGATTATTCTTCAGACTATATAATCGTACAACCAAAATCTAAAAATCATTGCATATCTATATGTTACGCGCTTTAAAACATAACATAAATGTGTTTGAAAGTAGAAGAAGCCTACTTGAGCAATACACAAAATTTGTTATGCTTCGAAATATACAACATTTAAATATGTTTGTAAAAAAGCCACATTGTACAATGCAGTGATGTTATGTAGTTTAAAAACGCAACATACTAACATTTTAATGTACAAAAAGCCAACATGGGAGTCTTAAGGAGCAAAAATACAGCATATGGACTCTTATATTGCTGTCATCACTTATATTGCAAGTCATATCTCTCCTGCCCCTCATTTGAGATGCTTTTCATGAACTGGCCCCCATGACAAACTAACTGAATAGCCCTGACCAAGGGCTCAGGCCAAGTTCATGAACATCTCCGCAAACAATTGTATGTTACTTCCAAGGTACCAGCGCAATGGTAGATAGGCACTCTGGGTATATCTCTTTTGTAAAACAGGGGGTCCAACGTTAGCCTCTTGGACCATTTCCCTCTTGCCTCAGCTAGACTATTGAACTCCACACACACGCCAATGACTCTGCACTTTGTTCACCCTGATCCGTCTATTCAAAGGGAATCCAGTAACCCACAGCCACCATTGTTTTGCTCTTATTCATTTGCACTGTTTTTGCTGTCTAAGCAATGATCTGCTTCACGGGGAAAAAAAAAAAGGGGGGGGCGAGAGAGAAAGTCAGTTTAGTGAGGGGGATTGGAAGGGGAGGGAGCCAATTCGGTGGGCTCTTGAGCACAGGAATCAAGTTTTAGTTTCTCTTCTGCTCTCCACCGGACAGATGCGGTGAATTACAACTGCTCGCAGATCCCTGGTCTCCCAGAACTGAACTCCCAAACTCCAGTCTCAGCTTCAGGGGATCATCAGCCGCCAAGAAAACCTGGTAGGTGGTTGTGGGGGCCGGTGGGAGGGGCTGGAGGGTCACGGGTTTGGACCAGAGCCAAAGAGAGGGAACATGATGTAGATGGCGCAGTTACTCACATGTTCTGAGTAAGGGTTGTTTTACATGACAACGTTTTCAGCCCAAAATAGGAACCTGTTGATATGATTTGCCTGATCGTGGAAGTTTTTGAAAATGCCGCCATTGTTGTTTCCGTGTAAACACACAAAGTCATATAAAACGATCTTGTCGTTCATGTGTTTAAGGAAATGCAGACTAAAAGCAAGCACAATCAAACACACACCAATGGCGGAGTCATATTTTGTTGCTCAAGTTTTAGCTAGCGCTTCAGCAGCAAAGTGTCGATTTACTTCACATTGCAGCAAAAGCGAAGATGCATCGTACACATTTACAATAATACAAAGCCATAAGCACCAAGCTGACGTCACTCCCTTACAAGTACTGTCTGTTAACTAATATGTTGACAGTGCCTGCGCAAATGTATAAGCACGGATCATTTTGAAAACGTTGTCATGTTGACGTTAAACTTTTTAAAACTTTTCTATTTTTGGCTTCGTCGTGTAAACCGTCTTAGACGTGTTCCTGGGTTAACATATTTTGTTGATGCTGGAACATCATACCTGCTTGAAAGCGTAATCCAAATCTTATCCCTACAAGAAATCTGAGGGAAATGGTGTGTGAATAATGATGTAAAGCTGAAGTCAGAATTATTATCCCCCCTGAATTATTAGCCTCGCTGTTTATTTTTTTCCCCAATTTCTGTTTAACGAAAAGAAGATTTTCTTCAACACATTTCTAAACATAATAGTTTTAATAACTAAATTCTAGTAATTGATTTATTTTATCTTTGCCATGATGACAGGAAATAATATTTGACTAGACACTTCTATACAGCTTAAAGTGACATTTAAAGGCTTAACTAGGTTAACTAGGCAGGTTAGGGTAATTAGGCAAGTTATTGTACAAGATGGTTTGTTTTGTAGACTAGCGAAAAAAATATATAGCTTAAAGGGGCCAATAATTTTGACCTTAAAATGTGTTTCAAAAAATTAATAACTGCTTTTATTCTAGCTGAAATAAAACAAATAAGACATTCTTCAGAAGAAAAAATATTATCAGACATACTGTGAAAATTTCCTTCCTCTGTTAAACATCATTTGGGAAATATTTTAAAAAGAAAAAAGTTTTTAAAGGGGGGTTAATAATTCTGAATTTAACTGTACTTTAAGCATCTTACGTTATATGTAAGATTAAAGTTGACACAAAGATCTGACTGGATGGATGGAATATCTTTTCAGGACCAAAATAAAAAAAGTTAAGTTCTGGTAGTTACTCAGCACAGTGAATTTGTGAGAGTACTGTAAATGGATGGGATGGCATTATTTTGGAATCGATAACTGGTCAGAAAAGGCTTCAACTAAATAAACAGGGAGGCCTTTGGGCATGTGTGGCACCTGCTTTTGTCGAACGTGTGCCGTTTGAGAATTTTGGTTTATAGTAAACCTGTGGTTTGATAAAGATGAGTGAAAAAGACCACCACTGTGAACATTTCATGTCTAGTACATGTCTTACTCCATTTGCTAAAGAGAAAAAGTATGGGAATGTACTTTAAATGTTTCAGAATATCAAGGAATTAGATCGAATGATTTAGAAATGCAACATTTTAGTTGTTAGTAAACATATATGAATGTCCATCCATTCAAGTACTTGATTTTATTAAATATAGGGTTTAGATCAGTGGTTTTCAAATGGGTTTATATCACAATGTTGAATTCACTTTGGACAACAAGTTGCCTTTCGGTTAATTTGGAATATTTACAATATTATAAATGTATTAACAGCATAACCTTACAGCAGTGGTTTCCATCGCTTGGTAATTTCCAAAAATCGTATTCATTTTATTAAACTATCAGAATTACCAGCCTGATCTCACGAGAAAATGTACGTGTTTTAGCTTTGTCAGTTTAGTGGCTAATTCGTACAAATTCGTTCAGAGTTTAGTCGTACGAAATTGTACGATTTTAAAAAGGAGGTGAGGTACCAAACCCCACCCCTAAACCCAACTGTCATTGGGGGATGGGCAAATCATACTAAATTGTATGAATTAGATCGTACGAATTCATACTAATTAGCCACTAAATCAAAAAGTTACGAATTGCTGTGAGATTGTGTTGGAATTACCATATTATATCCAAAATCTACAAAAAAAACAAGAGAGTTAATTACTAAATAGGTAGTATTGTTACATGTTGATAATAAACATTTAAAAATGACATGCAAATAAAAAGCCATCAGCCTTTCGATTTTTTTTATTTATTTATTTTTTTTTTTGCGACCCCTGGGGTGATAATGTTATATTAAAGATACAGCAATAAAGTTAGATGCAGCACATTGATTTTATGGCACCAGATTAAAGTTTCTGACACCTTTACGGCACTTAAATACATTAAAAACAAATACAGGCCTCAACTGAACATGGTGGATGGTCTCAGAGTAACATACTTCAAAATTAAACAGTAGATAGACTTGGGTCTATCGGTATGTGTGCGCCATTGTGTGCAAGGATTATATGTCTATAACCACCTCAGAGAATATTGGGTGTCGTAAGTCACTGGCATTGTTATTTTGGGGGTCGCTGAGAAGTTTGGGAACCACTACCTTACAGCATTCGCCACAGATCCACACTTTTCCACACTTTTATGATGCTTGTTTGCCTACCTTTGTTAAAAAGAAGTGCACTTTGCATGTAATGTACAGATTACAAGCTAGGGATAGATAAACATTGAAACAATACAAATTCACACTGATCTAAATTTTCATCACCATGCTTGCGAGGCTAGTATAGTTGGCAATGTAACTTTGTAAAGAACGGCAACATGTCTCCGCACATTGGTCCACTATTGTTGGTCAGTACTTGTGCATAATAGACATTTAGTACACATTAACATGACATCCCAATTTTTACAAAATCCCATTGATGTTTTCAGGCCTCCACAACTAATTTGGTTGAAAACAGAGGCAACGTCTTAAAGCGCATACTTCCATACTATATAGCAGTGGTTCTCAAAGTGGGGGTCGGGACCCCCTGAGGGGTTGCGGGGCAATGAAGGGGGGTAGCCTGGTGATTTCCAAAAATCGATTTATTTTTATTAAACGATGAGAATTAACATATTTTATCCATAACTATACTAAAAAAAATAGTCATTTATAGTTACTATATACTATATAGTTACTATAGTAGCTTATAGTTACTAGTTCTATTGAATTGCGACCCCTGGGGTAATAACATTATATTAAAGGCAGCAATAGCGTCAGATGCATTTTGATTTTATAACATCAGATTATACTTTCTGGCACATTTAAAGCACTGACACAAATTTAATTGGTGTGTCTGCGTCATTGCATGCAAGGTTTCAGTATTTATAACCACCTCAGAGGATATTGGGGGTCATGAGTCACTGGCATTGTTATTTTGGGGGTCGCGGGCTGAAAAGTTTGGGAACCCCTGCTATATAGGACGCTAAAAACAGTTTGAGCATAGTATATCCGAATTCATAGGATACGAAAATCAGTAAGCGAGAAGTCGGATGACCTATTACTTCTGGCAAGATTCTGAAGTGCCTATCCCATGCACGTGGCACTATCCTATGATGCCCCATGAGAGAATTCATAAATGGGAGTGAAGCAACGTAACTGACAAGGGTAGGTCACATGACCATGACAAAATGGCGGATCTACAGTAGTATGTCCGAGATCTATTCATGCTGCTCACAATCATTCGTACTTTTCTAAAGGTCAAGCAGTACGTTTAACTTCAAATGCAGTACCTACTGAGTGGTTTCAGACACAGCCAGAGTCTTGTAAAGTACACAACATCTGCATATACAATTTACAAAGCACACTTCTTTTTCACAAGGGTATCTTAGCAGTAAGAACCACACACAATGATATGGTTGGTTGCGTTTTATTTCTTGCATTTAATTTCCCCCTGCAGCCCTTAAGTTGCAAGCCACCAGTTTAGAGCCACTGGCTAGCATCAATCCTATTAGCTGTATCAGAAACAGCTTTGGGTGTTTTTACATTTTTCCTAGCAGATTTCTTTTCAGCGGAAGCTGTTATTAATAACTCGAAAACAAAATTGCAAATCCGTCACCTATAATATAAGAGTAATGGTGCATTTCCATGAAAAATTCAAGAGTTGGTCGTCAACTAAGCTTACATCAGCATACAGCGGTTACTGGCAACAGCGTAATAACAGAGCAAAGGGTAGGTTGAATTTGTTTTTTTCGGCTCTGATTTTAATGCCAGTTATGAAACTGTACAAATATTGCATGGACATAGAGGCATCACTGAAAAAATCCCATTAATATCAAGCATGCCACTTTTTAGTAATGCATGATAGGCCACCCGGAGTAGACATTAACCCACAATCATCTGCACTCTTCCCCAAGCATTATACGCCATGGAGATCAATGTGGAGAAGGACCGGAAAACGGGTGCCACCAAGATCCTCTCAGCCTCGGCCGTCAGCCCGCAGGACGCTCACCAGAGGGGCGTCAAGGTCTACGACGATGGCCGAAAAGTGATCTACGAGGTGCGTTCTGGGGGATCGACTACAATGGAGAACGGCACGCATGCCTGGAGTCCCGGAGAGATGAACCAACTCATGCAACAAGTCGGCGGGAAGCAACAACCAAGTGACGGAGCACGGGTGACCGTCACGCCAGCGGAGCCACAGCAAACAGGAGGACAGCTGAGCGCCAAAGAGCCCAAGCAGGACAAGAAACAAAACCATAGCAAAGGCTACGAGGGGGAGGTCACGGAGACTCCGAAGGCCTCCGCTGACAAACCCGTCACCATGATCTTCATGGGATACCACAGCATTGAAGACGAAGAGGAGTCCAAGAAGCTGCTAGGCTTTGATGGCACCATCAAGGCCGAGATTGTCCTTATCGACGAGGATGATGAGAAATCTCTGCGGGAGAAGACGGTCACTGATATCTCCACCATCGACGGCAATGCAGCAGACCTGGTGTCGGGACGGCCTTTGTCCGACACCACTGAACTGTCCTCAGAAGGCAAAGAGGAAAGCTCGACCAAGGAACTGCCATCTACAGGTATTGAAAAGAAAAAACGCTGCCAGTGCTGTGCTGTCATGTGACCTATCTCCCGCAACTTCTCTTTCCTGGAGCATATTCACCAAGGCTCTGCCTTCCTCACAAACAAATCTCACCCTCTGTTACTAACAGCACCTCCACCTCTGTGACACGAGAGGAGTTCTCTTCTCACTCTTTTCTGACCTATTTTCCACAGATTGTCTGGTTGTGTTGGCGTAAGGTTGTATGATTCGAAATGCATGTTGAAGGAACATCTTTAGGAGAAGGCTCTGATAACATACAGATTTAAAAACAGCTCATTCACTGGCATCTTTGGTTCTGTGAAGAGCCTTTCAAAGGAACACTACACTTTTTTTAAAATAAGGTAATTTGTACCAGTCACCTTAAACAGTTGAATTTTACCATGTTTTAATCCATTCAGCTACATCTGGGTCTTGCAGGAGATATTTTTAATTAGCTTAGCTTAATTTAGCATAGATTATTGAATCATTAGCATCTCATTAAAAAAGTACCAAAGAGCTTCGATAATTATCCTTAGTACATCATGTACTAAGATCGCTGGAAAATGCAAAAAACATGTCATGGCAATTCGTAACTTTTTAATTTAGTGGCTAATTTGTATGAATTCATATGATCATTCGTACAATTTAGTACGATTTGCTTATCCGCCAATGACGGTTGGATTTATGGGCAGGGTTCAGAGCCATGCTTACTTTTTAAAATTGTACATTCTCGTAAGACTGAACTTGTACAAATTCGTACAAATTAGCCACTAAACTGACAAATTGTAAAATAGCTACGTTTTCCCCATGAAATCAAGCTGGAAAATGATATCAACCTTGAAAATAGCAACTTTTAGTTTTCCTTTGTGGCCCATTTCCACTGAGAGATACAGTACGGTCGGTACGGGTCGGTATGGTTTACCTTTATCTAGCTTGCGTTTTCACTGGCAAAAGGGTACCTTTTTGAAGAAAGTTTCATATGACGTAGTTTCGGAAATGTCGACAGTAAAGTCGTACGGGTCATTCACATATCATATGAGAAGCACTTCTCACAAAGCAGATGCTTTATACACAAAAATACTTGTGTATACATGTTCATTACTAACCTTTCTATGAACATCATTTGATTATAACTGCAGATCAATGATAGTGTGAAATAGCCTACTGTAACAAATGTGATTTATATGAAATAAATTAATAAATGCAACATATATGAACACATACAGAACCTTACAGTCTCTGTTATGGTATTTACTACAGATAAACTACACACAGCATACAGTTAGTCCTTATTTGGGTTCAAAAACAACACGGAATATAGCCCACGGTCAGTGCAAACCTCTCATCTACGTCTTTAACCTTCACCAGCACATGTTGCCTCTTGTTAGAACGTAATTCCGTCATTCTGAGTTCATTAGTCCAAAAGGCGATGATAAACATGGCAGTTCATGTTTTAGGTTGCAGAAGCATCATTTGCTGCTGTTTTTTCCAGCTTCTCTTTTGTTTTTTTGCGCTTTACTCTTGCATTTGACTTGTTCTGAAAGGATCGAATATCAGAGTGCTTCAATGATCACGTGGAGGTTATTAATATGAGCTCAAAAAGTTCGTTACTTCAAATTTAGACACGATCGTGAGCTCTCTGGACAAAGTGAAACCGCTTGCATTTTAGATGGGCTCGTAAAACAACAACAGCAGATTTTGTTCTTCTTGGCTTTGTGGCTGTTCATCAAGACAACGACAAGGTTTGTTTGAACTCGAGTCGACCATGGCTTGTTATTATATGTATATGTTATTATGGTGTAATGTCTCGGCTATGTTTTTAAACATGGCTCTTTCTTTGTTTTCATTCTCCTGCTTCTGCAAGTGACGGTTTTCTGTAAACCAATAGCGTTCAGTTGCGCGTCTTGCTCCTCGTTATGGTACCTTTTGGGCCTGTTGGTACTGTTTGCAAAGGGTGACCAAAAAGTGGTATGGTACATTTCACCTTTAGGTATTTGACAGTGGAAATGGTCATAAAAGCATCCCAAACCGAACCAAACTGTACCACTCAGTGGAAACGGGTCATTGATCTTATTACCCAATGAAGAGTGAAGCTTTAACAAGCAAAATTATCAAAACTCTTTGGTAATTTTAGAGCTAGATGCTATAATTCAATATGCTTATCAATATGGTTTTAATATGGGTCAGTAATTTATGTTAAGCTAAGCTAAAAGTGCCTCCTTAAATCAGAAAATCTGCTAAATTTATACAATAATTGTACAACTGAAAAGTTTAGTTCTAGGTATGTTGTAAAAATGAGCCTATTTTGGAAAAAAAAAATCCATGCACTCTTAAGGCTGGTTTATACTTCTGCGTCGAGTGACTGCCATAACCCACGACAAATGCCTTGCGCGTAGCTGTGTATTTACACTTCTGCGTGCTGTTTGTGTTGCTCTGCAGTAACACTTCCGAAACACTAGCTGGCAGTAGGTTAAAGTGTTCCTCTGTGACGAGTTTCTTCACTGGTGTTTTGTTTATTCTGAATGATACCTTACAAGTAGCTAAAAGTCGCTCATTCGGAGGCGGCAGCTGGCAGACGTGCAACAACTTTATTCAAAAGGTAAACACAAAACAAAACTGGAGCTCCTTTATGAGAATCGACACTTATAAACACTCGCTCCATTGAGCTCGCGGCTCTCAGCACCTGCCACACTCGTCACAGATACCAAGCTGACCAATCGCAGAGCTTGTGCTACGCATCGTTGTGACGTGTAGTTACAATTTTTGAGAGGTGCTTGTCGGCGTCAGGGCTATGCAGCTCTGCGGAGGCTGCGCCGGAGCATACGCGTGAGCCTAAAGTCCCTTTAAGGCAAGTCATTTCCCTCAGCGGCCATCTTTGAAATGCCTCTACTTTAGCATTCTGTTTAAATGGGAAAACATAAAATTCTTCAAATCTACTTGCCAAGCTTACGAATACATTTCATATTACGAATAATCAATAAAATTAAACAACAACTGTCTATTTAGTTTCATTTCTAAATGTTCGTTTCACACAAAATCTGTACAAACTCACATCTGGTCCGAGCCCCTCCCTCAGAGAGTTGTCATTATATATATCGATCGCTGATTGGCTTCTGTACTAGATGGCGGGCTTTATTTGCCATAAAGCGATCGCTAATTGACTCCTGTACTAGAAGGCGGAGCTTTATTTGCCATATAACGATAGCTAATTGGCTCCTGTACTAGAAGGCGGGGCTTCATTTGCCATATTGACAGTTACACTTTTTCCCTTTCAAAAGTATACGAGTGACGTGTCTTGTGTTTTCTAGTCTTTGGCTTCACACAGAAGTAAAAATCAGCCTTTACAAATAAAGGGAGTTTTTACAGGGATGCAATGGAAGAACCATTCTGGGTTCCCAAAGAACCTTTCAGAGAACAGTTCTTAAAAGGCACCATTGTGCAATAGGAAATTTTTATGGATGTTAAAGGTACATCATAGAACCATAAATGCTTACAAATGTCAAATAAAAAGGATCTTTAAAAAGATGGGAAAGGAGGAAAGGAGTGTATGTGTAAAAACACAGTTTTACTCCATTAAAACATTATTATTATTTATTGCAATTATCCCTTTGAGGTTAAATATTTATTAATTGAATTTATTATATGTAAAAGATCAGATTTTATCTGTTTCCCTCTTTTAAAATTCCTCACAATAAGACCACACGGATCCACACAACATGAGGATGTTTGATCATTATTATTATTATGTTAAGTAGCCTTACAAATCTTTCAGATTATCATGACCATTGGTTGTCAAAGATATTTATTTTGTTCACAGATCCAGATTTATTTTTCCCAACCAGAATGATCATTTAAATGCAGTATGTGCCTCTGTTTCCTCATGTTCTCAGCTGCAAAAAAAAGACATTGAAAATTGAATAGATAACTATACAACTGCTCTCAGATCAGCTGAATTGTTCAAATTAAACAATATCAAGCAGATAAAATCAGTACTGCCAATTAAAAGCTCAAATGCGACAAACAGACCACAGTTTACATGCATGGAAGTAAACAAGGTGCTAATATTTCGATCCATTAGCTGAAATTTATGACGAAGACATTCGCAATTCGTACAAACCAGCAGATGAATCTTTAAATGGCTATTATTTTGCTTCAGAAAAATTGCAGTTATGGCTGAGTGATGCTTCAACGTGCATTAAACACAATGCGCAGAAGTCCACAAATTTTTAATCCGTATATCCTGCATTTTGCGTTCTAACAAGCTGAAGTCTTGCTTAGAACTTAGAAGTCGAATGTCAGGAAATTGCTGAAATAATGGATTGTGTTTAAAGAAATATGAACCTTTGTACAGCTCACTACCGTTTTTTATTATTATTTATTATTTAAATACAAACATACAAAGTCAAAGAGATTACGGCTGCATATATAAATATGCCTGTAGATAAAGAATGTACATATATAACACTCAAAATGAGTGTTTAATCCACATTTATTTCTACAGAGGTTGAAATCTGAAAGTGTTTAATATATGCACATTGATTGCATATTCAAACATATATACCATACCCTTAAATCCCAAGACTTCTCAGTGTGGATATTTCTTAGCTATTTATTATCTAAGTGATATCTCTACTTTCACTAATACCAGCTGCCTTGCTGTTTCTGTATTCTTGTCACATTGCAAAAGAAATGGTTTGAGTGCCATAATACTGTTTGTACATCATGTTTTTTGTACAAATGATGCTCAGATGGGGAAAGGAAAAGCCAGCTTATTAAAACTACTTCCATTCGCAATGATCAAGGACTTGAAATATACTGCATAACTTGTTGCTAAAATGTGATCTGAAATACATGTCACCTAGGCGAAGACAAAAATGTAGAAACATCTTAATTAGTTACAAAAATGCATTTACAAAACATTTAAATTAAATTTTATTTGTTATTTTATTTTTTATTATAATTTTTTTTTTTTACGTTTTAACTGTTTAGATAAAGAATTGTACAGGATTGAATATCTTACATTTTCAGAAATAGTTTTTTAT